CCCGCCCCGCAGCCCCCAGCGGCTGGCACGCCCGGTCCCCGCGCCGGTCGTACCCGCCGGGTGGGCGGCAGGCACAGCAGGGGGGCCCGCAAAGCAAGCCCCCGGGGAGCAGGGTACGGGGCTGCCCGCACCCGGCGGGGAGGTGGGCCAGCGCTGCCGGGAGAGCTAGGCCTAGCTCTTGCCCCCACCAAAGTACAACGCACCTCGTCACCCCCCAGAGTCCGTCTTACTGGTTTGGGGTGGGTGGCTTTGGGTTTTGGGGCTGTTTTTTCTTTACGCAGAAGCAACGCCAAAATTCTCCCAGTAAGCAGGCCCGCCAGGGCTAACCTGGCGAGGATCTGCCGTGCTGTATTCCTCGTTCTGCAAAATAAGAGCCGAGCGGGGGGGGGGGGCTGCCGGGGTCACTTCTGCCTCAGAAACAAGCTGCAGACACGATGGTCCACAAGGAAAATCAGAGGTTTGGGAAGGAAGAGGAGTCTCGTTCCCTGTATCGGTGCTGTCAAACTCTTGCAAGTTTGAAATGCAGTTGTTAGAAAGGCAACTAAGTTTAGCACTGTCATCGCCGACAGATCCCATCCAGTTGTATTAGCTGCCATGTTGTTTAATGAGAAAATTCACTCTTACTTTAGTTTCTGTTAATGTCAGAAACGAAATGCCCTATGGGAAAGTAACCTCCACTCCAATATGACTGAACAGTCACTTGCAATTTTCTTAACTACATTTCAAGACCAGAGTCAAATTCTGTACTCACACAAACCGGTGCCACCATCTTGTCTGCCACTTAGGCATAAGAAGGAGCTGTATTTGATTTGCAAAGTTTTTATTATGGATGATGATGCAATTCAGTTCTGCGCAGAAACATCCAAGCTACCTCCAGCAGCAGAAGCAGTTTAGCCCTGCGAGCAGGGCAATTCGCTTGGGGCTGATCAAACCTGATGAGGAAAAGAGTGTTATCGTGGGCAGAACCCCCTGCTAAAATAGATATAGGCTGCTTTGGTGCTCAGATAAACACAACGGGCTGCTGTGCTACGCAGCCTGGTGTAGACATAGACCTCGGACCCTACGGTGAGTTTATGACAGGTGGCTGCCAGGAAAAAGAAACTACAAAGGATTTTGGTTATACTTACAGAAGAACTAGTGGAGTAATTTACCTGCCGATAGTATTTTACGAGAGGACAGCACCTCACCGGACAGCCAGAAAGAGAACTCAAAGCCGTGCGGTATTACAGGGCGGAGTATTCGCAAACGCTCCGTAAACTCCACAAGCCGGGCACGGGAACTGGCAGCAATTCCCAGCGTAACCCACGCAGCCGGTAACGAGCCGCTGGCCGAGTTAAAAGCCGGCAGCGCTGCTTCCCAGCCGCAAGCAGCTGCCCGGAGATTAATAATTCACGGGTTACCCCTGCCAGCTCCAGCTCCGAACGCGCTCGGACGCCAGGAGGGAGCCACCCCGCTCTCGCCGCTCCCCGGCGACTCCCCACGTCCACTCTCCCGCAGCCGGGAGCTGTCCCCGCCGCGCCCCCCGGCCGCGGCCCTTCCCCGGCTCCCCCGGCGGGACCGAGCCCCGAGGTGACCTGCGGCGAACCGGGGGGAGGGGAGGGGCGGGGGCTGCGCTCCGCCCCGCCCCCCTGACGCTGACGGACGCGGCTGGCAGCCAGACGCGCCCCGCTCCAGCGCCCGCCCGG